TTATCAGGCGGTTACTTCAAAACAAACCTCAGTATAGTCAACTGTCTCAAGTTTAAAATGAATGATTTCCTGCCAAAATTCAGCATCTTCTTTGCCAACCTGACGTTGAACCAATAATCCGCCGTCTTCTTTCACATCATACGGTTAACTGTTGATAATTAATTTTTTGAGAGTTGAAATTTCAAGACAATCAAAAATTGCCTTTTTTGCGTTTAAAGATTTTTCCAATTAATCCTGTAAAATAATTCTTTTGTTCTCAAAATGTGCATTCATTAATTGTATCAAGGGTATACGTAGAACAGCGCAAAGACTTCAGAATTAGTTCGGATTCTTACCACTTGGTCATGAAGTTTGAAAAATGGGTCACGAATCTCTCATGAAATGCATACAAGAAGTGGTTGAGCTGGCTGATCGGCGATGGTTCACGATCACTCACTTTTTCATCTATTTTGGGCGATGACTCACTTCGATATAAATTCTGCTCTTCTTTGACAATTTCAAAGTTTTTAATTATTCTTCCATCTGTTGTAATTTAAACGGTATAATGGTTTTGTGAATTACTTCATGTGTGCGTAAACAGTCAGATCTCATCTGGCACAATGTTTACCAATAGGAATATGAAAATCTTGTATTTTTTGCAAACTCGTAAAGATAAGTTTTTTCTACCTTTTTTCAAATCTCCCTTTGACCCTGAAAGCCTCCAAAATCGAGTTCGTACCACAGCCAGCTTGGACGATCCTAATACTAACCAAGGATGATGGTAAACTTTTGTAAGACAAATTTTTCTCATTTCGCTTACTCGCAGAGTTTGTGTCGTTCATAATCTCGGTGAATTCTCCTGAAGAAAAGTCCCCATTCGAGAAGAAGAGAATTTGAATTTGGCTATTCCGCATGTTGCCTTATAAAGAATGCTATAAACTGCTCATCTTGCTAGTCGTTTCTTCGAAAAGCAAGATCTATATCATCAACGATTGAGAGCAGTTATGCTATCTGAGCTCTCTTGGCTTACACCTTATCACCCTCCTCTTCCTATTATTTGACATCCATTTCTCTTCTGTATATCCACACTGACCAAGAGACGCCAAATAGTACCAGCTCTCTATGTTCTGTAATAAAAATTTCGTACTTGAATATATGTAAACGCTGCTAACAAAGTTATCGCTGAACATTATAAAACATAAAAGTCCACCGTTATTTGACATTAGCTGACAATGATAGTGCCCTTTCGCGTCTCGACCCATTTGCTAAACTACTTGACATTCATGGATTGCCTCTGAAAACGTTCTAACTAGTTCAATGAAGAGTTGAGAGAACTTTTTTGCATGAGTTTACACTAACTTTGATGCTTTCTACTTGATCAATATGCATACCTGAAGAGCTTTCTTGGAGAGCTTGAGAAGAGCGAGCGAATAAAATCAGATCTGCATTCGTAATCACTGCTATCAAAGTACGAAATGTTGCAAGCAGCCAAAAATGTTGCAACGAATGTTTTCGCTAATTTGATGGAACGCATTTCCTTGAAAAAAAAACCGCAACTGACTAATGCGGCTAATCAAGCAAGCTAGTCCCTTCAAAAAGGGTGTCACACCCGCTACTATGTTCTGCAGTTCGCACGGCCTTGATGAGCCTCCACATTTACTGTAATGTGATTTTGTTATTGTTCAGCTCACTTCAAAATTAACCCTTTATACCATCACATATTTTTTTTGAAGATTTTGGAAAGGGATCCGAATTTAGCGACCTAGAATCGGAGAAATACAGATATGAACAGTGTGCTTCTGTAGTCAATCCAATAGATAAGTTGAGTAGCAATAAAGAACTTGCTTTGAGAAAGGTTCCGTAGAGCTACATTGAAATATTAGGTTGTCCCGAAAGTTTTGTCGGTTTTTTTCATTGCTCACTAAAACTCACAGAACACCGTCCATAAACGTTCTAGGTACCATATGATTTAGATTTCCATCCTCTTTCTTACAGCTATGTTTGCTCTCTGACCTATCCTGTCTTTGCAATGTTATCGTCATGGCTTTTTGAGCAGCTCAACAGTAACGCCAAACTTTCCTGAATTTTAAAAATCTCTATCCTGAGACTTCTAAGGAGCGCTGGTAACTGTTATATAGAGCAAAGCTTTGGCTACATTGTACTCATTTTAGATTACACAGGCCACGTTTACCAAGTCCGTTATAATTATTTATTATAATAAAAACTGGGATTTTTGATTACGGCTTTTTCAAAGCAAGTCAAACTGGGTAATGTTGCATCAGTGTTCAATAAAAATCATGTTGCAATTTGCAGAAACTTCGAAGTTTTCATTTTTTTGCTGCAGTTTCGTGTTTCATGACTTTGCCAATTGAGACCTCCGAAGAAATAATTTTCTGAAGCGAAAATCAGCAGATTAGTGAAATCTAAAAAGATCATCTTGTAGTCCGAGAATTGCTCTATTTAATCCTTAGTTGACCCTTTCCGAAACTTTGAAATGAAATTTTCAAAAATTAGCCGAGCACTGAGCATACAAAAATGACTGGTAAAGAATTTCAGCAATTATCAAAAATAAACATACAAGGATTATGGTATAAAAATGTATCCATAAGAAAAAGAAGGAAAAGCTGCATCGAATAAATGCTGAAGCTCATTCAGATCTTCATTGTGGTCCTATAGTGGTCTGAGAAAACCGACAAAACTTTCGGAACGACCTAATACAGTTTTCGAAATCCCTTGTCTCAGCCACCAAGCAATATTCGGCTACCTTCGCTGACAAGTTTGGACTATTTTTGAGTCGGTTTGCATGCTCAACAAGTAATCCAAGAAACCATGAAATAATTAACTATTCAAATAACTGTAAACCTTTTTCCAGTAGAGCTCGTATAACAGATAACAATTTCAAAATACTTTTTGCATTAGAAAATATCTCTTGACAACCTTTTCAGCTCAAAAAATACCTTCTTGCGTGCCTGAACACCGAGTTTTCCTTCTCTTCCCGAGCAACAAGTTTTGAAAGGATTACATCAAAATTTCATTGTCTCTATTTCTTGAACTGGTTTTAAGCAGTATCCTCAATTTAAAATGCTCGGAAAACCACGTTAACTTCTCACTATTTTTGCTTTGGAAATAGGTAAGAAACTGCCTTGTTGAGGTATTCTTCCCTCTGATGTTTGTTTGAACTCGGATGCGGTGAAACCGGAAATTCCGGTATTATGTGGCTTTTCGTATGCAACACGCACGTTATTTACATCTAGCACAATATTTCTTAGCAGAATTTGCTTTTTTTCAGGTTTCAAATTTCCACTTTGGATTTCAATTTCTCAAAGCTCTTTCTATAGATGCTATAATAGAGCAAATATAAACTTTCATACAAAGTATCAAATATCGAGATCCCTGTTTGCTACACTTGCATAAATTCAAGGAGAAAGAGAAAAGTGCAAAGTGCGCAAGCATTAAATTTCGTAAAACTTCTATTTTCCACAGCGAGCACTTGAACGACGCTGGATAAGGTAACCCCTAATTTGCAGAGCAGGTTACAGTTTCTCTAGTTACAGCTACACTTTTTCTCCTTTTCCTGAATACTTCAAGTTGTTTGTACTAAGTGACTAACTCATCTATATTTCGCTACGATCATCGTTCAACTTGACTCCATAACTAATTTAGCTAGGATCTACAGTCATCAGATCAATTTTTCGTATTTGTTCGCTATTGTTTCCGATGTCGATTAGGCATTCGTTCTATTTGATATTCGGAATTAATTCACTGTTATAAAATCTGCGCATACGCTATCACAAATACATGAAACATTTATGGTTTTTTTCTTTAGCTTTCTCTGGATTCTGAAAATAAGAGCAGAATCGTTTTTCCTGTCATCAAAATTTCATGGGAAATCCGATATATCAATACTTTTTGGTGCTTGTTGCTCTTTCGCTTGCTGCCTTACTGTGGCTTGCAGATTATTTTCCGCATCGGAAGTCTGAGGGGAGGAGGAAATTGGTGAAAACATACTGAAAAATTACCTCAGGCAGATTTTAGTTGTTTTGAATTTTCACGAAACATCATCCACCTCCTTCCTCAACCTTCATGAAATTACAATAATAGCTCCCATTAAAATAAAGGGTTTGAACAATCTCCTATGCGCAAATGCAAAGTTATTGACATAAAAAATTGTTCGAAGGTGAAAGAAGAGAAGCAAATTACAAGTAGAGTGAAAGCTAGTATGACAGCGCGTTCGAATTTTCAGGTCGACAAAAGTTTTTCCGGTATCAACACCTCCGACAAAAAGTCTTTTTATTTTGGAAGCATTGAATCGTTTCGTGAAAGCAGTTACAGTCTACGTTACAGATACACCGTCCATTTTGCACACAGAATGCGGTAGCAACTGTAGTTTCTATCTCACCTTTCCTATCGGCTAATGTTGGGAAAGATTCTTGCCGACCGGTTTTCTTTACGAATAACTATGATTTTTAGGGTTTTTTCCATTCTCGATTCATTTCGAGATATAAATACTATGTATAATAAAATTCAGCCTATACTATGCCGAGCTCTCTTGATTTCATCTCTCTCTACATTTTCCAGCCATCTCTCCCCATATATGGTAAAAATTGTTCATTATACCTTAGCATTTAGCAAATGACTTTGTTTAGAGCGCATGAATTTGTAATTGCTTTACTAATGCTCAAAACTCCCTTGATTGTCCTCCTTATCTCAATTTTTTTGGTGATAAGAAGTGTTCGGAAAGCAGTTCTCTGCCGTCTCAAATGTCGTTTTGGAAATTTCTTGCTGTTTGCACGCTTCTTTTCTCTAGTTTCTCGCGCCACAGTCTGTGTCGTGAATTATTAAGACACAAAATTCAAGGTACTCGCCTCACATGCGGGAAAAAGAAGAAAAAATAGCGCAAAACGAAGCGTTTCCAATAAAAAAGCTGGAGATGACTGTGTACTTGCCGCTTCTTAAAGACCTATTACGGATCAAATTAACTTGTCCTATTTATCAGGGTAGCCTAATTACTTGAATGCACAATGTCTGTGATTGATGCTTTCATGGCTGCGAAAAATGTAAATTAATTCTTTTCCTGTTAGAAACTACTGCGGAAAAGAACGTGATTCTAGCATGTGACGAAATTACTATTTCGTCTCTGCGTACCTGCTGTATCCTATGGGATGTGAGTATTGTGCATTTTTGCAATATTTGCGGGCATTTGTTACAGCTGTATTCTCATTTATTTTGGATTCGCTGTAGTCAGAAATTCGAGAAGTAGAGATAGTGCATAGGTAAAATTACAATTTCGTTCAAAAAAATGTGTACCCTTAAATGCTAGTTTTTTTCATCATGATGCTTTTTTGTTTTTATAAGCCGTATCCACAGTTTCCCTCTCGCCAAGTACTATAGCGCCGTAACCGCGTGCGTCTATGAAAAATGCGTATTCTCAAAGGATGATGAGAAGGAGGATGAAGAATTCGAGGATGATTACGACATTAGACCTCCTGATCCGGTTTATACCGATGAATACATAGACGTACTAGCAGATCTCGGAACCAGAGGCCAGAAGAAGAAAAAAGAAAAGGTCCGACCCAGCTACACCATCGACTTGAATGGAACAGACTACTCGAACTATCAACGTCGAACAAAGGTGTTAGAAGCATATCTCTTCAAGTTTGCTACGATCATGGCTAGTTAGCTTCCAGTCAAGGGATTCTAACTAGAAATATTGCACTTTATTAACGTAACTCCTACAAATGCAAGTTTGTTTGTAATTCGAATAATATACTTGATTTCAAGTTTTCATGAAAACGAGACTCGTGGTAAAGCTCAATTCCTGCATAGAATAACACCTTCTCCTCATCTCCGAGGATTACAAGTAGCCTGTAGCTCCGTTCCCTAATTCATTTAAGCTTCTAGAGCTTTTGATGCTCATTTTTAGCCTCATCTAGTTATCTCACTTCACACTCATCCTCAATCACCATTTTATTTGGTGTTTCACCAAATTTCAGTCAGTGCCTACTCGCATCCTAATTATACTGTATTACTTACGCCCATTTCACTTACAACCTCGGGTAGTCTCAACATTGACATACCACCGCATTTATTCGCTCATTGTGTAATTTTTATATTTGCTGATAAGCTTTGATTACCCAAGTTTGAGGTTGGATGTTGAGCTCAATTCGCATGCCTGGTCATACAACCAAACCGTGAGCATCCACCAACCAAGTCAATCACATCAAGCAACTCAGTCGAAGGAAAGAAGCCATTCCAATTCTTATTTGAATTGTGAATTTGAATTCTTCAAACAGCTACGATAGTCAACGTCAGTTCTGACTGGCTAAGTAAAAGTTACTTGTACTCCCATAAATCTTCTGTGCCTTGAATTTTTCTATCTAGCTTCTCCCTCTCCTTCCGTCCTTTCCTTCTTCTCAAGTTAAAAAAGCGAACTTCGAGAAGGCCTCAGCAAGGTGTCTCTATGCCGTTTTGTCATCAGCTGAGCACCGACGCTTGGTGGCCCTAGAAAATCACAGTTTCAAGTGCACTTATGCTTGCGTGTAAATAGTCGACACAACATTGAGAGTCACACTAGGATCTTGTCGTGAGCGCTAAGAGTTTCTTTTTCATTATTTACGTACCGTGATATAACGTAACGAAAAAGAAGATATCTCGTCACAAAGGATTTGCTGCTGTCTCCAGTCATAATCCTAATTTCAAAATTCCTAGTCTCTACCACTCAGATTGTAATATAATAGCAGTTAGCATATTCAAATGGAGGAATCCGACAACCCCATCTTGGTTTTGCAAACCCGCATTATCCTTGCACCGTTGCATCGTTGAAATCTGATCAAATGCATTTTTATGGCAGTTACCTTCCGCAAATCCTGTTTACGTTATTGGAACTGTTGTAATTACAAATGCATGTTTTAGGTTCAAGTTTTTTGGCAATGCAAAAGTGCGTATAAACGTTGCCTAAAGGAAATTCAGCAATTTTTTCATAAGTAATACTCCTTTTTAGTTGTGGAAAGTAGAAGCTTTAAAGAGATAACGTTGAGACTCCTGTAGTAGCCCACTATTGTACGCATATTTTTGTCAAATTTGGAGATATTGGATACCTTGATTGTACATGTGTACATGTCTACAAATTTTCGTATCCAATTTCTTCATGAAGGCTTCTTCAAGTGTGGATTTATATTGAGATTCCTATGATAGCAGCTTCGTTGTAATTTATCATATTTGTACTGAAAATTCTCATGTGATGGAGTGTTTCAATCCGTACAAGTCCAACGACGAGACTTTACATGGTGCCACATAGAATGAAGCATTGTTGTCCTGAAACTTATTCCTAGCCAGATTTGATACACATTTCAGTAGATCTAGAACTATTTTTGCGCGAGATAGTACATCACTATAGATAGGAAAGCTTGATTAGTAAAATATGTAGTCTCCCTCCTGTAATTCTAAGGTAATAAAAATCGTGCTCAAGCAGACATCAAGGAGCACTACCAAAATTTACGGCGGATCACTGGTACTCATACTTTCGAAGTGTGGATCTACGCAGACTATTTTTAATGTGGCAAGGTTTTCGGCCAGTTCAGCGACAATTTGCTTTTGGCACCTGCTCTTATCCCATTATAAATTGCTTGTCCTTCGACATCTCGAACACGACAAGGGCTTCGCAATCATCTTTGCTCATATTTGATGTGTACTGATTCTTCAGCTGTGCTCTATGGAACAACTTTTTCATACTTCTAGAGTACCGTTGTTAACCATTATTCAAAAATTTACTCTGTACCAGCGTGGTAAAAATCTGCATCGAACATGAATCAAGTTCGTAATAACTTTTTTGCTTGTAAGAAATCAACAAGCTGAGCTATGTGTACAATCGCCTCGTTATGCGATTCTTGATCATCTTATCAGCGTCACTTTACGTGGACACGATGTATGACAAATTCCAGTGAGTTTTCGATACTTTGCTTACAAGGCTTCCAGTACAAGCTACTGCCAAGTGTTGATTTCGAGAATGGAATGAATTTGAAAAACTAGATCGTTATGTGATCTGAATCATTTGTGATGCATCAAACAATCTAATGCACCTCTTTCCATTAACAAATGTGCATTCTTTGGGAGGCCAGAAAATAATTAATAGTAATCAAATTTCTGTTTGATTACACCACGCTGTCGGGCCAGTGTGGATCTTTAACCATCTACAGGGTGTCCCAAAAAAATGTGCACACTGTTTGATTGTAAATAACTCTCTTGTAATGAAGGGTTTCGAGAAGCTTTGGGTACCATTTTGTAAAGCGAGGTTCAACTTAGATTTACAGTGTAGCGCGAATCACCGATCGCTCATTCTTACTGTAGGATTGCGGTAGAAACTTCAAGCATATGGTGTCACTGGTGGAAAAAACGGCCGTTCCGGAAATTTTCAAAAAAAATGTGGAAACTTATGTAATAGGGTTTTCACGGACGCTGAGTTCAATACCCAACTTTTAACAAGGTTGCGAAGCTTTCTAAACGTGTAACCGCACTTTTTAGGAACATTGAAAAAATGGCCGCTATTGCTTACCTCGCATAATTTTTTAATGAAGCATCACGAAAAGTTGTAAACTTCACATTTAGAATCAGCAACTCTGATTAGTCCAGTGTGAGAGTTTTCGGGTTGTTTTGATTCACTTTTGGAACAAAATATGGCCTTTCATGGTTCCAAACCCTCTTCAAAGTTTCTACCGTAATCCTACAGTATGAATGAGAGATCGGCGATTCGCTCTATGCTGTAAAACTAAGTTGAACCTCACTCTACAAAATGGTACTCAAAGATTCTCGAAACACTCCATTACAAGAGAGTTATTTACGATCAAACAGTATGCACATTTTTTGGGGACACCCTGTATATCCTAAACTTCGTGTTTTTGATCGTCTGCCATGTGTATCTTCACCATAGCTCAAGAATTTTTTAGATATATAGTGGGTAACTGATTCTGGTGCATGCCTAAATCTCCCTTTCAGAATATGCTCTACTAAGTACCAATCTGAATCCTAATGAAGTTTACGTGAATTTTTTGAACTCTTCCTTGCAGGTGAGATTTGCGTAGATTTCGATCAGTAAGTGTAATTCTGTACTTGTGACGTAGCCGCAGAGCAGCTGCTTCCGCTTTGGAATGGTCTACTTATGTTTTGTAGCAAATGTTAGAAAACTAGGAGTAGGTGCCAGCTGTGCCAATTTTTTTGCGAAACTATGAAATATCGAAATGGCCATAAAATTCAAGGAAAGTTTGGCCTAACCAAAGAAAGACAAAAGCATTGCAATGACCTAACAAATGGCAAATCACAGCCGCTCGTGACATTCATAATTCCTCAGCGGCAAATGGTTTTGCTAAACAAGGGTGCAATTTTTCTCAAAAACGCTTGCGTGCGCTGACCCAATCCGAATGAAATATCTAAACGAGCACGAATTGATGTATGGGTAATGCTTTGTCACGTGAGCATATCTCTTCTTGTCCAATTCCCTGCATGACAAATACCTTTTCGACACGAAATCTTAGGTTTGTGATCCTTATCGTTGCTCTTGAGCAAATTTTACCAGCACTAAGTGACAATATCATTAGTACAAGAGTAAGAATTTTTTCTTTCTAAACACTCATTTTTAGCAGCGTCAATCAAGAATGATATATCTTTTCCCTTTTTGTCTGCAAAGAAATTAATCCACATTCTTTTTTCAATGCAATTGAGTTCTTTATAAGTAAAGGACTGTTTTGCTCAGTCACAGTTGATCAAAGCCTTTAGTCGAAATCCCAAAATGGCTCTGCTGCGCGAGATGATAGCCGCTCATAATCGTTGGGCTGAACAATTCTTGAATAATTTGAAGAAATTGGGATCCTTGTCTACAGTGTTGTCTACCGCAACGACATGAATAATTCGTAATCGAAGCTCTGAAAGTAACTGCTACCGCCCAGCTTCACGCCACTCGATCAACATCTCAAGTTTTCTGATCCACAAACTAGCCACTTCAAAGGGGAGATGTATGTTTCTCTTAGATGAAAGTATGGTAGTTTGTGCATCTGAAAATAATTGGGACTATTACTAAATTAAATAAGCTAAAGATCAAAGTGGCAAACTAAAAGAACAGCTTACGCGTTGGCTACGCTTTCGTCAAAGCTTCAAAATTGTTAGAACCACGTTGATGATGGTCGGATTTGGGCATTAACTGTGACTAGTTATAAAAAATGCGGTACTCCACAGGTTGTGCATTTTTCGAGCATCCCTTTAGAAGAGGTATTCGCCTTTGCTTTTTGATCTGAAGTTCAGCTTTGTGTGAGCGAAATATGCCATTATTTTCTTCTCCCTGATTTTCATTCCAATGCTTGTATCTGTTATATGATCACTGCTTCCCAATGTGCGTAATTCCAATCATTCCCCATGTATGGATGTAAACAGTCACTGTAGTAAAAGAAATGCACATTTGCTTGAGGGAAGGATGTCCCCAAGACTAATTTTTTGTAAACTCTGTCATGGTAATATGTCTGTCTTATAACATGCGCACTTGCATATTAATTTATTGAGTGCATCGATTGATGCGCCAAAAGAAGGGTTATTACAAAAAAGAAAACATCAAATTACACAATGTCAATATAGGATTATATGCATCTCCAGTGGTCTTCTTGATATCAGTTTTAGGGGACACTTTGAGTCAAATAT